CGGAGCTCCGTGCTTTGGCTGAGGAAGCGGATCATTTTTTCCTGGCTACACAACAGCCCGGTGCAGAGACGTTAGCCGCGATGCTCAGCGGCCCACCTGCAGTCAAGAAAGCGTGGTGGAGGCCGGACACGGCTGTGGCGAGCCGGCGTGGAGACGCCGGAGAGTGCGTTTACCACACACGTTTCGGGACAAGGGCGAAGAGATGCATCGCTCCGTGCAGCTACAAACCCCCGGGAAACGGAGGGGCCGGCGCTCAGTAGTGGCTCTGAGCGTTGGCGGCACGTGCAGGCTCCTCTTCGTCAGCGACAGCGTTTCGGGGAGCCTGTTTCTGTGTGACACGGGCGCTCAACAGAGCGTAGTTCCAGCGTTGAGTAAAGACGTCGCCCGTGGGGGGATGTTAAGAATAGGCGTTTGGTTGATGCCTTAACGTTTTCTTCCCTCGTGTGCACACTTGGCAGCGCAGATTACGACGGGCTGTCAGGCTCGCTGTCAGGGGCAGACACGTTTCTCAGACTGTTGGCCGAGTTTCCAGACCTGTCGCTGCCCACCTTCTCTGCGCTTAGCACTAAGCATGGCATGGAGCACCACGTCACTACCGAGGGGCCTCCTGTCTACGCCAGGGCCCGGCGTTGAACCCTTCTAAGCTGTCTGTAGCGAGGGCGGAGTTCGCAACCATGGAGCGCCTGGGCATTGTCCGCCGCTCCGACAGTCCTTGGGCTTGCCCCCTGCACGTCGTTCCCAAACCGAACGGCGGGTTCCGCCCGTGCGGGGATTACCGCCGACTCAACGACGCCACTACGCCTGACTGCTATCCGGTGCCGCACATTCAGGACTTTTCGGCGCATCTGGCCGGTACGGGGGTGTTTTCCAAGGTGGACCTGGTGCGTGGATACCACCAGGTGCCCATGCACCCCCTGGACATTCCCAAGACAGCAGTGATAACGCCTTTTGGACTTTTTGAGTTCTTGTGGATGCCTTTTGGACTCCATAATGCCGCTCAGACGTTCCAGCGCCTGATGGATTCGGTGCTGCGGGACCTGCCGTTTGTGTTTGTCTACCTCAACGACATACTCGTCACCAGCGCTTCAGTGCAGGAGCACCTGTCCCACCTCCGAGCCCTTTTCACACGGCTCCACGATCACGGATTAATCATCAATCCTGCAAAGTGCCAGTTCGGGGTGTCGGACATCGATTTCCTGGGGCACCGCGTCACCAAGGGCGGTGCGACACCTCTGCCAGCGAAGGTGGAGGCGCTGTTGCGGCTTTTCCTCGCCCGCTCACAGCCCGGTCACTCCGTGAGTTTCTGGGGATGGTGACTTTCTACCACCGTTTCATCGCCCGGGCCGCACACATCATGCGGCCGCTGTATGAAGCGTTGAAAGGCAAGACCCCCGTCCAGGAGATCGACTGGACAGCAGAGGCGGACGGCGCTTTTGCTGAGGTCAAGACCGCGTTGGCTCAGGCGGCTTTGCTGGCACACCCATCATCTACGGCTCCCATCTCCATCACCACGGACGCGTCGGACTACGCGGTCGGCGCAGTGCACGAGCAGTGGGTGGAGGCCACTTGGCAGCCGCTCGCCTTTTTCAGCCGCCAGCTGACGCCCAGAGAACGCAAATACAGCGCCTTTGACCGGGAGCTCCTCTGACTTTATTTGGCCGTCCGGCACTTCCGTTTCATGCTGGAAGGCCGTGAATTTACGGCATTTTCTCGACCACAAGCCGCTCACCTTCGCCATGTCAAAAGTGGCGGAGCCTTGGTCGGCACGTCAGCAGCGGCAGCTGTCCTACATATCGGAGTTCACTACGGACATTAAGCACGTGGCTGGCAAGTCGAACCTGGTTGCTGATTTGCCTCTCCAGGGTCGTCATCGGTGCCGTGCAGTTGGGCCTGGACTATACTCGCATGGCGGCGGACCAGGTCACAGATAACCCGGCTGCGCTTGGAGGACGTGATGTTCGGCGATGCGGGCATTACTCTCCTGTGTGACGTCTCTACGGGCCTGGCGTGGCCTGTCGTCCCTGCCAGCTAGAGGCGTCCTGTGTTCGAGACAGTGCACGGCCTGTCACACCCCAGCATTAAACCTTCGGTACGTTGGAGTGCGTGGCTTGTCAACGCGCTAAGGTGCACCGCCACACGAAGGCCCCGTTGGAGCGTTTCCTGGTGCCTGAGAGACGTCTGACTCAGAGGTCGCGCGGCTGTGGAGAAGAACGTGTTGCCCACATTCTGTTACTGAGTTTAGACTAGTTAGCTAGCAGGCTTATTGTTTTGGGTGCAGTCACTTTTGCCTCCACTTGCTGTTCAAATAAATGTTGAAAGAAAAAGTAAATCTGTTTACAATTCTGTTTCAAATGGGTGTTGAGAAATGTGTCCATAGATGTAGTCCCTAACTTTACTCTCAAAGTGCACCAGATTGATGCTTTTAACTTCAACATTTAAAAAAAAAAATTCCCGGGGGAGCATGCCCCCGGACCCCCCTAGAGGGGGGTCCCTAGAGGGTGTGCCCACACACCCTGTTAAATTGTCTCACCCACATTGAGGATGCTTCCTACGCCCATGTTGTATTCCCTGCGTCAAGTCAGGCAAATTGGGTCCAAATGTTATTGCATCAATAATCTGTTAACATTAAAATCACTAAATATATGCTGTAACTATTTTGCTCTAGGCAACTCAAGGGCTCAGGTAATGTGATTACTATATGAATAATGGTCCAAAATAACATGAAATGCATAGGGTATTTTGTTAAATAACATACTTCCGTCGCCGGACGGCCGATACATGCCTCGCATTAAGTGGGCCTGTCTGTCAATTAATCCCCAGGCCACTTTTTCCCCCCAGTCCACCCCTGCTAGAGGGCCCTGACGGCTGGCCACTGCTAGAGCGTTGGTGTTGGGATCAGGGGAGCACAGGTTCAAACCCCACTGCAGTCAGCATGTCGTTGTGTCCCTGAGACACTTCACCCCAAATTGCTCCTGTGGGGATTGTCCACAGTATTGAGTATGTAAGTCGCTTTGGATAAAAGCGTCTAACAAGTATCATGTAATGTAATAGTGTGTTGAGAGTTCTCCAAAGTCAATTGCTCCATGGACTCAGCTTCCCAGTATGCTTGTTTTTGCAAAACTTGAAAACCTACTTTCAAAAGCAACAGCTCTCTTTTTTTCCTCAACACCTTTGGCTTCACTGGGAACACAGCAGCTGTAGTTCTCTTGTTCCTAATGTTAGAGGAAGCAAGCACCTTTCCACATGTAGCTAGATTAGCACCAACAGCTACGTAAAGCCTGCTAACAATTTTAAAGAGGTCCTTCTCCTATAGTGTGTTATATGTATGATGTTTCCTGTATGTATGAAGTTGCCTGTATGTATGAAGTTTCCTGTATGTATGAAGTTGCCTGTATGTATGATGTTGCCTGTATGTATGAAGTTGCCTGTATGTATGAAGTTTCCTGTATGTATGAAGTTGCCTGTATGTATGATGTTGCCTGTATGTATGAAGTTGCCTGTATGTATGAAGTTTCCTGTATGTATGAAGTTGCCTGTATGTATGAAGTTTCCTGTATGTATGAAGTTGCCTGTATGTATGATGTTGCCTGTATGTATGAAGTTGCCTGTATGTATGAAGTCGCCTGTATGTATGAAGTTGCCTGTATGTATGAAGTTTCCTGTATGTATGAAGTTGCCTGTATGTATGAAGTCGCCTGTATGTATGAAGTCGCCTGTATGTATGAAGTCGCCTGTATGTATGAAGTTGCCTGTATGTATGAAGTTGCCTGTATGCATTAAGCGTGTTGTCACGTGGGCAAATATGTATTTTAAGTTGAAACTGCATAAGCTGCAGCTTTAACAGGGACTCCCTGCATGGTGTGATCAAAATGAAGGAACATTCCAAACCAAATGCTCAGTGTGTGCCTCTGGTCAGCAGGTGTCACTGTTGTTATAATAAAGAATGCACTTATTCCAAAGAAAGCCACGGTGTGGAGCATCCATCCATTTGGGCTTTAACTTGTGTATTTGTATTTATCTCTCTGAAGTTCTTTAGTCCAACAATAAAACAGCCTGGACATAACTCTTCACAACTTGCTCTCATACTGCTGATTGCCTTTAGATCTAGTTAGAAAGAAAACTATTGTTACATCTTTGCACACGTGTCTAATGTATACTAACACTGCTATTTAAAATGTTAATATATTTAGTCATACAAATTAGAACAGTGAAAAAACCCAAAGATATTTAATAATATATATATTGTGTTGTGTTGTTTGCAAATGAACTGCCTGCTATAGCTAACAACAACATGGGAAATCTTGTCCATTTAATTACAAATGGCATTAAAGAAGTCCCTTGCAATACGCTGTAGGAACGCTGATTCAAAACATGTATTGTAACAAATAATAATAATGTAAATAAAGCACATTTTTTAAAGTTTGATTCTGTTTGGCTTTTATGTCACTGCAGTGTACATCATGTAAAGTCTTTCCAACACGTTTCCTGTTCGTATGGTTTGATTTATATCTGATTTATTAAATGTTCTGGATCTCATATCTGTGGGTTTCTTTTTTGTGTGTTTGCTTCATGTTTTATTATTAAAGAGACCCTAATGTGCTTTTGGGGGGTTTCCCTTCCCTATAGTGTGCCATCATACGCGTCACTTTTGCAAATGGCCAATCTTGTCCCAACCACTTTGCGTTAGGATCATTTGTTTCAAATGATCTGAAAATAGCGTGCACAAAGAATCGTAGATGTACAGTCTGGAGAGCTGGTCTCACTTGGTGTGTTTCTGGAAGCCCTGGTGGTGACAACTTGATTTGACCTCATGTTTTACCTCTTTGTATTTACTTTCAGTTTCAAGTCTTTATCACCACGTGCTCAGCAGCTACAGAGATATGGCAATTAAAAACTGAGGTCCAGGCTCCTCCAACAGAGCAACATGAATATATATAGAGGACATAGAACAAATAAAACAGATACATTTAGGATTATATCCCCATGTCTAGTGTAGAAACATGTCGGTGTGATTATAAAGTTGTATTTACAGGCACTGTTGCAAAAACCAAGCAGTTAAAAAACATCCGATTTTTAAAAGAAAGAGGTTTGAAAAACATAATCGCTATTAAAGATGTTGGGAGTTTTATTTGAGTTATCATGTATTATTAAAATGGCTGATTTGCAACCATTGCTACGAAAAGTTAAGGAATGTCGTGCTGCCGGGGGGTTGGCTGTATCCCATAGCCAGAGGTATATCTTGAAAGAGACTGGGAACTGTCAAGCACCGCCGTTTGTTATGGCAGTGTTTAATTTTAAAATAGGTCAAATATACTCTTGCTACGAGGGATGCTACTAGAAAGAAGAATAAACAAGTGAATTATGAAGGAAACTTCTTCCATGACATAGATCAACATCAATATGTTAAATCAATCAATAGCTGCAACAATAATTACTGGAACATTGTGTGTCTGATTCCTTCCAGTCCACTTGAATATGAGTGTGATGTGTGTGGTCATGTTGGGTTGCTACTGACAGGCATGTGAGTTTTTCCCGTCTCAGTGTTCTGCATTTCTTAGAAGCAACCGGACCGCAGAGAGAACAGAGAAGAAACAAACCAAGAGAAATTATATGGCATTTCCCATTATCTCTTATAATGAATACTGTGCCCTTCATGCTGTTCAGTAAAACTACCTTGTGGTTTCACAGGTTAATGCCTTCCTGTTCCTTCACTACACCTGCAGACTGTGTGACGTCCTCAGTGCTCATAGAGATGAACTGTTTTTCTCTTCTTCATTTGTCTTTTCTGGTGTCAGTGGTATATCGGCAGCCAAACAAGTTAAAGCCATAACTGTGTGATGGGTGTTACTGGGGTTTTGCTCATCATGCATATTAATAGTCTAAACAGGAAGTAAATCTATTATTTTAACAGCCTGATATCCGTCTTCTGCTCATTGGTGACAGAGGAAAGGCATCTTTAAACACATCGTTCCTCCTTCACTGTAAGTAGAAACAGTTTATTGATGTAATGATTCTGTATACCTTGTGTGAACATTATTTAATCTGACATGTTTTATAGTCTCACATGAGAGGAGCAGCTATGAGTGCAGCAGCGAGTGGATTAGTTGTCTTCCTGCTCTCTGTGTCAGGTACTGCATTCATCACATGAAAAGAGGGGATTCTGGGAAAATGTGGGACTTGTAAAACCAGGTCACATGTGGGCAGGGCCGTCCCTCCCTACAGGCCGATCATGCAGACTGCGTGGGGCCTCACCTCGAGAAGGGGGCCTCACCTCGCAGTGGGAGCCTCAACTGCGCCGCAAGTGTGGAATCGCCGCTCCACTAGCACCCCCCGTCGACGCTCGCGAAACAGAGGGCCTCATCACATAACTTTGCGTGGGGCCTCCAGTTGGCCAGGGACGGCCCTGCATGTGGGAATAAGTTGGATGGATTTGTGTAAAAGTCAAACCTAGCAGAAACATGTATTTGTGTGTAGAATTGTAGAAACACAAAGACGTTACTATTTTTGATGGATTTTCTGAAGATCTTGTCGTGATCACTGTCCTTTGCTCGAAAAATGTGCATAAAATATCAGTTTGCTTCTCACTTTTACAAGCGTTAATGTTTCATCCTCTCTCTGAAAAACATTTTTGCTTTGTTTTTTTCTTAAGATATCTTAAAGAATCTCCAGCTCCGTTTTTGTCGTCCCATGCCATGGCCATTTCTACTGGTCATAATTCCATTGTTGAGGTCTACAAGAATTGATATTGTTCAATGGTCCAAACTCACATTGGTTTCTCATACAGCATCTCTGGATAGTATGTGTATTCACTCTCTGTCCTACACGGCTTGTTTTAGCTCCTGCCCCCACCCCCCCCTCCCTGTGAGCCCAGTGGCCGTCTGCGAGACAGCGAGACACAGCGAAACCCAGCCCCAAACACACACACACCCGCAGCCTGGCTGGGAGTTTGTGTGTGTGCCCAGGCTGAGTTCCGCGGTGTCTCGCTGTCTCGCCGACCCCACACCAGTGAGCCAGCTCACAATGTCCCGCTCCTCGCAGCAGCGAGCCTCGCAACGTCCCGCCGAGTGTGCGTGTGTGTGTGAAGAAGTCCGCGGATTGGTCCAAACGTAACGGCTCCACGGACGTTACGTTACGTCACTATAGGCCTACCCGAAATATGTCACTATACCCAAGAAGAAAACAATGTAAAAAAAGAAATCTCCAACGAGGCGTTCTGGGGCAGCACAGACAGGTATTTCCTGTGTTAGAGTTTTACTCACTACAGGGTGTACTTTGAGGGTTTGTGACTCTGCAGACCGTTTACATGCAGAAAAACCTTCATAACACAAGGGGACGGGTGATAACCAGAAAATCCTAACATGGGACCTTTAAAATTAAGTGATTTAGAGAGATTTTCTTATTCTAAGTCATAACATATTGACTCAAGTCTTATCGATCATACATCTGCACCACACCCTTCTAGTTTCTTCCCTCCTCTCTGACCTCAGTGTTATATTCCCACGCTCTGAGTCACAGCAGTCTTCTTCTTTTTCTTATCTGTATATCAGACAGAAGCTGCTCACACCTCAGTGCTCTGCATTTATTTGTATTGTTCAACTTAACTCAGCAGCAACCTGACCACAGAGCGAACAGAGAGGAAACTGGACCAGAAAAGCACAGACATGTATAATGAATAGTATTCTTAATATTTGTATGTTCTTGCAGGCATGTTGACACCTTGTGTTGGGACTTCTGTTCTACCTGGTTTAGTTCAGAAACAACAAAGTCATACATTAGTATTTGCAGCAGTTATAAACTGCCTTAAAATGAATTAACAGGTGACGTACATAGAAACTCAACTATGATAAATACATGATATGTTTCTTAGTTTCAGTTCAGCTCATAGGTTCATGAACATTTTTATAATAATGTCTGCTGATAATTTGATCTTGAAGCTTGTTCTGGTTACATTCACCCCATAAACACATTTATAGTTTGATGCACTGAGTCTTATTAACTAGTTGTTAACTTAAGTCATTAACTTTGATTCTAGTTTTTGATGTGCTCTGTGTTTCAGTGGTTCAGGGTCAGAATGACTGGGGAGTGACTTACTCTTCTACTGAGATCTGTGCAGTGAAAGGATCAACAGTGGAGATAAGATGCACCTACAAATACCCATCCACATGGAGAGGTCGTGTAAACACAGTACAGAAAACATTCTGGTCCACTAAACAGAAAGATGGTGAACCTGTAGATCTGTTCACAGCATCAGAGTATTCAGGTCGTGTCGAGGGTCGTTGTGAAAACAACGTCTGCACTCTGAGAATCAGAAACCTGAGAGAGAGCGACTCAGCTGAGTACTGGTTCAGATTCGAAACAAACCAACCAGATGGAAAATATGATGGTTCAACTGGCGTCACTTTGTCCGTCACAAGTAACAATTTTCAATTATAAGTTCATTATGTATAAATGTCTTGGATATAATAATAATAATATGCGTGTGTTTTGACAGTTTTTGTCTTAAATACAATTCCTGTTCCTTCACAAATCCAGACCTCCAGGTCACATCTGAATCAAACCGGCTGCATTGTCAGAACAGTTGTCCTCCATCTTATAATCCTCCCTACATCTGGTACAAGAACGGACAAAGAATTCAGAGAGAAACATCTTATTATACAAATATAACGAACAATGCAGACAGTTATTCAGGCGCTTTAAAGGGACATTAGGACTTACCCTCTCCTCCAGTGTGTGAGTTTACTCCAAAGACTTCTAATAACACACACACATCTAGTGGTGTTTTATATTGAACTATATTGGTCATTTTTCTCCTGTTCAAATTACTGCTGAAAGATAGAAACACATTTTATTTTTCAGGTGTCAGAGGTCAAACCTGCAACAGAGTGACTTACTCTGAGAGAAGCATCTGCACCCCCAAAGGATCATCAGTGGACATTTCCTGCACGTACAGCAGCTTTGAAGACGATGTTGAATCTAAGTTCTGGTTCATAGCTGAGCGTAGTCATCCGGGACAGAATCCCTCTCAACCTGAGGACCTTAGTGAAGACTCCCAGTATGCAGGTCGTGTTCATATCCTTGACACAGAGAGAGGATGCTCCACTCTGAGGATCTCTGACCTGAGAGACTCATATTCAGCTCAGTATCTCTTCAAATTCAAAACACCAAGCTTTGAATGGAGGAGTGATTTACCTGGTACCACTCTGACTGTCACAGGTACTGATCAACACACACTGAGGAAAATACAAAGTACACCTACAAATACTGGAAAAGTTGATGTTTGTGTAATGACCATTGGATGAAGAGTTACTATTGCTCTTTATTTCCAAATAGCAATACACAGTTGTGTTAATGTGTATGTACATCTATATATATATATATATATATATATATATAAAAATACCTTTTGCTATACTATTGTTTCTTGTTCTAAGGTCCAGCTCTCCAGGTGCAGGTGATCAGAGCAAAGGTCTACAACTATTCTACTGAGGCAGAGCTGAAGTGTCACAGCAGCTGCAGTCCAGCTAGTTCTCTGAACTACGTCTGGTTCAAGAACGGAGAGAAAATCAAAGCAACGGTGATATCTTCTTATAAAGGCTTGTTTCAGCCCAGAGACAACATCTATTGTGCTTTTGAAGGACATGAAGACTTCCCCTCTCCTCCAGTGTGTGAGTTTACTCATAAATACACACTGACATTACAATACAATGACAAATTCAGACATGCTGGAGTCACCACGGTCTTCTGAAGTGCAATACATCAATTTCATTTTCATACATCGACTAACAATAAGGGCAGACAACCATAAAGATACAAACAACAAGTATCCTCCAAGCGCATTAGCTTGAAATAAGCCAAACATGTTAAGAATTACAATTGTTTACAAAATATGTCCAAGTAACTGTTCAAAGTGTTTTCAAAATTGGCCAGTGCTCTCAACAAATAAAATATGAAGATTCAAAAAGTACTCTGTGATGTTTGCTGTCCACAGCTGACGTTAAATCGACCGGACTTCTATCTGCGGATTGATATGACTGCACATAGTCCCTTGATCCTCCTTAACAACAGTCATGTTATTCTTAGCAACGTTCTGTTAGCGAGTATTAATAACCTCCGAAATGTCCAAATTCACCAATCAGAATCAAGTATTAAACTAAGTCTTGTAATAAAAAGAAAAAAGGTGTGGGGTCATTGATGTAAAAAAGATAAATAAAGACTTGTTATTGGCTGCCAGTTTCCAGGAATCTAACAAGGATCTACATCACAATATATAAATAATAAAGAAAAAACTAAAGTCAATCATGTGTGATAACATGTTTTAATGTTTGAAATACTTTCCATTTCCATATCCTTTTTCCAGATGCTCCAAAGCTCCCCTCTGTGTCAGTGAGTCCCTCTGCTGAGATAGAGGAGGGCAGTTCAGTGACTCTGACCTGTAGCAGTGATGCTAACCCAGCAGCTAACTACACCTGGTACAAGGAGGATGAAGACTCTCCAAAAGCTTCAGGACAGATCTTCACCATCACTGACTTCAGAGCTGAACACAGTGGGAGTTATTCCTGTGGAGCCCAGAACAAGTTAGGACGTAGTAACTCCACCTTTCATCTGATTGTTGTGGCAGGTAAGTTCTCCACATTCACCAGACCTGATTCACTTTGTAATCTGAAGCAACCCAAGCATATTCAAAATGTCAGTGTTCACGGAGGAACCTCCATGGGGTCAGAGGTGTATGACACTGACAATGTGATTTATCAATCTACTAATCTAGCAGTTAGAAGTATCACATATGTAATCATGTTCCCAGGGAGTTCAACAATGATGGTGAATATCATCAGGACGAGGGTGTTGATGCTGATTCCTGTGTTTCTCCTGAGTCTGTGGACGAGGTACAACAATATCAATTCATCCGTTCAAACATCTTTTAGTTTACTGTTATGAAATACAATCTGTATTTGTTGTTACCCTTAATCCAGGAAGAAGAAAGCTCTGCGCTCCACCACTGAAGCACCTGAAGAGATAGAGGTGAGAGAGGGCGGACCTATTGACAACATTTCCCCTTCGTCAAAGCTATCCTGTGGCTCATAAATGCAATGTGAAGAGAACTTGTGATTAAAGACAACTTCCTGAGTTGAAACTAGTAATGAATTTAGAAAATAAATAATTGGCATCAACTTTAAAATTTGAAAACAAATTATAAAATATTTAAGGATATGCGGGTTTCATGAACGAGGGTCTAATTGAGTCTTCTCTCTCTTCATCAGTTGGACTCTATTCATGATTATGAGAACGTCTCACACACTGCAGCACAGACAGAAGACAGAGGAGCAGGAAGACATGGTGTGAAGTCCAGTCAGGTTAGAGCCTCCTGCATCAGATAAAACAGGCCCACTCCACATTTAGAGTCACAGTTCCAGCTGTAACTTTACACAAAGTCTCCTGTGATTTTCTTCAGATGCTCACCTGATGGAAACAAAGAAGAAGGATGTTGAAATGTCCCTTGGAGAGCGAGGCTGAGCAGGATGTGTGCAAAGTGGATATTCACCTTCAACTCTTAAAGTTTTTATTATCAGTTTTCAGTAGCAGCTGCTTGTAGGTCTAGATTAGAAGAATGAACTGCTGGCAGCTTGAACTGAACCATGTCGAGGTGTCAAACATGATTTATCGTTAACACCAGCCGATGGTCAGGTGCTATATTACTGCTTCAACTACGTGTACTGTACATGCTTATTTGTTATATGCAGAGTTGTTGATATCCTGTTGATACCCTAACCCTGCTGATGTTCAGGCAGTGGCGAGCCGTGACTTTTATACCTAGGCCCTCTGACCCAAGGGCGGGGGGGGCCAGGGGGCCATTGGCCCCCCCACTTTACGGCCCTGCCCCAAATTTTCGCAGCAGCGGATGCCGTGGAACACATCCCGTTTCAATAATTCCCCTCTACTCTAAAGTCGCATCTAAAAAGAACGCCATCTGATCTAGCTGTGTATATTTTGCTATTTTTTATTGTTATATTCAATCTCATTAGCTACAGGCATTTTTGAAGCTTGTAAAGGGAAGAACACAGCTCGCCTTCCCCCACGGAAGAGGACCAGGAGTTGGCAGGACCCCCGGCGAGACAGGTGACGGCGGGACCTCTAACGGAACTACGATCGGCATAGTAATCGTAGATAACACCGCAGGGTCCGTTACAGTTTGTTTTCATCTGATTTCAAATAAACAAAGTCTTGGCTTTCAGAACATTAAACTTGTTTCGGCAAATTCAGATGATAAATACAACTTTAAAGCTTTTAACGGCATAATTACAAGCGGAGAACGGAGTAACTTGACGTCACAGCAGGCATAACAACAGCCGGTGTTTCTCCTGAGAGTTTTCCCCGGGAAACAAACGCAAAAATACACCAACACACACACGTATACACTCACACACTCGCGAGCTTCCCCCAGACCAGTAATCCAAACAAAAAGATCCTCCCTCCGTACTACTTTGATCATTTGCTCCGCTAATAATCAATCAGATCGATCCAGAGAAGAGGAAACTTTAAAGGCCTTTTTCTCAAAATGATGACTCGGTGACAGACATTATATAATGTGACATATTTTCCTTAATATTTGGAGTACAAAAACAATCCTGATATCATTAGAAAGCTAGGAATCTTCTCTTTCCAACAGTGTATACAACTCTAAATGTGTCTTCGGATCAATGCGACTGATTTCAATGGAGCAGGTCACTTTGCATTAGGTAAAATACAGCAGGCAGACATAACAGGAAGAATATGTACATTTTAATCCAATCAAATAGGACATTGTCACACCATTCAAATGTATCCATGTACATTACAACCAATAACAAAGCTTAGATGTGTTTATTTGTTACGTTGTTTACGTTATGTGTTACGTTGTTCAGTGTGTGTCAGCCGTTAACCTAGATAGATAAACTTGCAAACATGTCAGAAGAACCGGCGCATAAGAAAACAAAATACAGTCAAACTAAGCTAAAATTCAACAACTTGAATGTCACATCCGGACCCTGACATCCACAACTCCGGAGCTCTGTCCGCAGAGGCTGTCAAAACCGCCGCCGCCGGTATCGTTGAACCGAAACAGGCTGGTTCCGACTGCATGGAGGTTTGTTGTCGGGACATTGTGACGGGCCAATAAAAGCTTATTTGGGCAAACAGAAGGTACTTCAATGCAGAATGGTACAAAAACAGAGAGTGGTTAATTATTTGCAAAACCACTAAACGAGCCTTCTGTGAAATATGCAGATGTACTGCTGTCAACCGGCTTGTAACTTTCTCCAAATGTGGAGATGACAGCTTTGTAAATAGGCTACCGAGTTAATAACTGGAACTTTTCACAGAGCTTACTTCAGTCAAACACCAGTCAACATTCAGCTTGTCAAACAAGAGCGTAGCAGGAAAAAAGAAGAGATGGAATGAGCAACTGCGCTGTCATATGTGTGGGCTGGTCCTGTGTAGTTTCATTTACAGGAAAGGAGTGAGCAGAGGGTTGAGTTGTCCATTCTTGTTCTGTTTTCTCTGACTATCTTCCTCCTGAAGACCCTCTCAGACTTTCATTTGCTCGCGCTACTAAAGAGACACGTTACCATGGAAACCAAAAAATGGTGTAGCTGTATTGAAGTCCGAGTGGAAACAGTAACATTTGGTGTGTAGAATGAAACAAATTAGATTTAGTCAGAAATCGGGAGAAATGCGGGATAAATATGACCCCGGGAGGAAAACGGGAGTCTCCCGCGAAAATCGGGAGGGTTGGCAAGTAGGCTATGTCACATACACACGTACTTTTTGCCCCCCCCCCACTTCTGAAATGAATCCGGCGCCGCTGCTCTGACCACCCTTCCCTCGAAAAAAAAGAAGAGATATTACGTCTCAACGTAGACTTCAGCGGAATATCAAAACCGTGGTCCGGGGTGCAAAACGCATCAATGACAGCGACCCTCTACCACACAAAACAACACCATTTATATAAACACCTATCATGACAGGCCACCCACAGCCAAGTACCAATTACAAATGAATTAAGTCGGCACGGCGGCCCGCATTGAAAATGACTTCGGCCTACCTTTGATGATCAAATCACTTAAACACAAAGTCCATCCTCCTGTCCTTTTGGATGAAGCACTTGCGGGTCATTCAGCTGATCCTTTGCCACTCCAGTTTATCATTGTAACTCAATCTTGAAAATGACTCGGTTAATAATTTCGCAACGATGTCATCACTATCACTGAAGTGAGCCATCATGAACGAATTTATGCTAATCATAAATCTATCGATCATAAATCTATCCATTTGATTTATGATTCAAAAATAATAAAAGTAGGGTAGACATGTGGATATTATCCGGCTGAACACAACGTGCATTTATCTAACAGGTTCGTTTTCCACAGACCTTATTTCGAGCTATTTTCCAAAATTCTATGGAGAAATCCCACTGCTTTCTGTCGAGGGAATCCGAGCGAAGCTTACTTCCGGGTTTTAGGATGCGTCACTGCACCACTTGCATAGACCTCACAGCGGGCGGATCCTGTCATAAAGTCCGCGAAAATAAAGCCCGCCCATTTAGAGGGAAGATATGATTGGTCAATTGTACTGTCATTTGACATTACTCTCTCATTGAGTTACTATAGCGGGCCCTCTGTGAATGTAGAGAGGGACCAACAAGCTCTCCCGTCTTCACAGTAACTCGCAGAGACGGCATTTAACCCTTCACATTCCAACAGAAACTGAACAGGCAGATTCGAAGGATTTATTTATTTGGAAATATTATTTTAAATACAATTAAATCAAGTTATTTTGGTAAACTTAATGAAACATGTAACAACAAAAAAATATAAAAAATAATATTTAAAAAATAAAATTCAAATATTATTTTTTAGAATATCTTAGGCCCTCACAGAGGGCCTAGAGGGCCCTGACGGCTCGCCACTGTGTTCAGGTGTATATCAGTATGTAGTGTCTCTACTTTAAAGAGTCCTCTCCTGCTGATGTTCAGGTGTATATCAGTATGTAGTGTCTCTACTTTAAAGAGTCCTCTCCTGCTGATGTTCAGGTGTATATCAGTATGTAGTGTCTCTACTTTAAAGAGTCCTCTCCTGCTGATGTTCAGGTGCATATCAGTATGTAGTGTCTCTACTTTAAAGAGTCCTCTCCTGCTGATGTTCAGGTATATATCAGTATGTAGTGTCTCTACTTGAAAGAGTCCTCTCCTGCTGATGTTCAGGTGTATATCAGTATGTAGTGTCTCTACTTTAAAGAGTCATCTCCTGCTGATGTTCAGGTGTATATCAGTATGTAGTGTCTCTACTTTAAAGAGTCCTCTCCTGCTGATGTTCAGGTGTATATCAGTATGTAGTGTCTCTACTTTAAAGAGTCCTCTCCTGCTGATGTTCAGGTGTATATCAGTATGTAGTGTCTCTACTTTAAAGAGTCCTCTCCTGCTGATGTTCAGGTGTATAACAGTATGTAGTGTCTCTACTTTAAAGAGTCCTCTCCTGCTGATGTTCAGGTCTATATCAGTATGTAGTGTCTCTACTTTAAAGAGTCCTCTCCTGCTGATGTTCAGGTGTATATCAGTATGTAGTGTCTCTACTTGAAAGAGTCCTCTCCTGCTGATGTTCAGGTGTATATCAGTATGTAGTGTGTTTGCTGCAGGTTCGGCTGGCTCAGCTCCAGTATAGTTTGTTCTCCAAAGTCAATTGCTCCATGGACTCAGCTTCCCAGTATGCCTAATTTGCAAAACTTGAAAACCTACTTTCAAAAACAACAGCTCTCTTTTTTTCCTCAACACCTTTGGCTTCACTGGGAGCACAGCAGCTGTAGTTATTTTGTTCCCGATGGTAGAGGAAGCAAGCACCTTTCCACATATTTCCACATGTAGCACAAACAGCTACACAATGTCTGCTAACTATTTTAAAGAGGTCCCTCTCCTATGTGTTTTATAGCATATCAATGGTCTGCAAAGGCTAAAATCCCTAAACATCTGCATAATCCCCAACATCTCATTAAAAAAACATAAATATATAAAATATATATATTTTGACCCAAGGTTTTGTAACCGTAGGTAAATATATATAAGGTAGTGTCTTCTCCCCCCCGCCTGAAACGCCTCCATTGGACTCCTTTGTTTACTTCTGGAACCTACTGACATCACTATGTAACAGTCCAATTCTATTGGCTAGCGCTCCAACACATTGCAAATGATAGGCTAAGGGGCGGTATATCTCTAAGCGGTTGACCAATCAGAACAGAGCCGGCCAGCTAACCAATCAGAGCAGACTGGGCTGGATAACACCGCTAATGCGTGCCTTTTGTTGCCTGTATGTATGAAGTTGCCTGTATGTATGAAGTTGCCTGTATGTATGATGTTGCCTGTATGTATGAAGTTGCCTGTATGTATGAAGTGTCCTGTATGTATGATGTTGCCTGTATGTATGAAGTTGCCTGTATGTATGAAGTTGCCCTGTAGTATGATGTTGCCTGTATGTATGATGTTGCCTGTATGTATGAAGTTCCCTGTATGTATGATGTTGCCTGTATGTATGAAGTTGCCTGTATGTATGATGTTGCCTGTATGTATGAAGTTGCCTGTATGTATGAAGTTGCCTGTATGTATGAAGTTGCCTGTATGTATGATGTTGCCTGTATGTATGAAGTTGCCTGTATGTATGAAGTTGCCTGTATGTATGATGTTGCCTGTATGTATGAAGTTGCCTGTATGTATGAAGTGTCCTGTATGTATGATGTTGCCTGTA